GGCATGTTTCTCTCCCGACCCCCCAGAACCAAAGCCTCTTTGCAAGTACGTAGACAGTCCTTGACGGGGTGGGGGCCGCCGTAAGCCTGGTCAAAGCACACCGACCAATCGGAGGTGGGCCATTTCAAATGTCCTTCAGCACAGTAAGCAAGAGAGGCAGGCATTGACTTCCACTTCCTTATCTGGAGTGAACCATGTAGCTGCTCGCGCCAGATGAGTAGGTAAGCACAAGTCAGCAGTGCTTATCTTGCTCCGTGTGCCCTGGACCCTCGGGTGAAATCAGAATGAATTTCTCCACGTGGGCTAGCGTCCACTCCCAGGGAGAAATGCTGTGGCAGCGTTCTGCCAGAGGGGGCAGTGGTGGGTCGGTGGCAGACACCTCTCCTGGCCTCTCACTCAATCTGCAGATTCAATTCCTGCCAGTGGACCTCAGAGGCAGTCACCATTCCTGCCAGTAGAGGCTTGTGGGGTGCTCTGACCCTGAACAGCTCCCAGACTAAGGCGGACGAGGGAGAGAAGCCTAGTAATGGTCTTTCAAGAACGAGGCAATGAAAACGCTGTAGGTGACAACCAGTCATGGGGCTGCGGGGCGGGGCTGGGCAGTGGTGACGCACAGGGTCTCCATGAGACGGGCTGACCCGGGGACAGCTCGTCTAGGAACAGCTCCATGCCACAAGCGCCAGTTGGACTGTGAGCACAGCCTGTTGGCTGGGTTTTGTGCTCCACTGGGTAGCGCCATGGAGTCCCCCCACCACGGACCCAAAGGGAAACCAGGACTGAGTGAAAGTACAGGGTGGCCACAAACCCCCTCAGCACAAATTACCACCTTCCCGCGCAGCAGTAGCACCAAATAGAGGCTCTTTAAAGTTCCCTCTTGCTGGAGGGGGGAAACAGGACTTACTTGAGATGGCAGGTGTCTTTGGAGATGTGACGCTGGGACTAGTCCCAGGACCCTGTTGTCCCAGAGTACCCCCCGCAGCTGTGCTGCAAGGCTGACTTGGGGATGGCGAGGCCCCCCTGAGTGCTTCACCGGGGCTCCCACACGCTAGGCTCTGGCTGCCTTTGTCTCTGGACGCTGGTGTGTTTGTGACGACTTCCTGGCTGCGCGTGGCTTGGGCCAGAGCTGTGTCATTGTTCCTGGGGACCGCGGGGTCTTTGGAGTGTCCAGTGCTTGTGCGAGAGCTGTTGGAGGCTGGATCCACATGTGCTTCACTGAGTTCTCCTGCAGCTGCACTGGCCTGGCCTGGGGCTGGATCCACCTTCCCTGCACCCGGGCCTTCCTGCGTTGAGGCTGGGGCTGGGGCATCTTTCCCTGCACTGGGCCCTGGGTCTGGGTTTTCCTGGCTTGGGGATGGATCCCCCTTGGGTTCACTGATCCCTGCATCTGGGATTGCCTGGCTCGGGACTGGCTCCACTGTCCCTGCATCTGGGGCGGCCTGGCCTGGGGCTGGAGCATCCTTGGCTTCACTTGTCCCTGCATCTGGGGTGGCCTGGCCTGGGGCTGGAGCATCCTTGGCTTCACTTGTCCCTG